AAACAGTTAATACAGATGATGGGTTTTGGCTTTCTTGGCATTACATATGAAGAAGTCATCAATTTAAACTAGTTTTTTGTGATTTTTAAGAAGTAGAATTTAATCTTTTCGCTTTTGTGTACCAGTTTTTTAAAAAGTCACTGATGGTATGAAAAGGTCCCACATCCAGATTTTAACTCTTTTGCAGGTATAAGTAGCGCATACTACTGAAACTGCATGAAACACATACCTGCTTCTATTGTATATTTCTGATTGAAGGGAGTGCAGTTCCTCTTAGGGAACTTTAGGTCCGATACCCTTATAAATAGATAGTTTCAAACAATTATTGGTGAGAGATCATTTTTTTAAAAAGGCAATTTAAAATACTTGATTCTAGAATAATATAAAAGTAACCTTCAGAACCTCAGTGCTAAAGGAAAACAGCAGGCAACTTCAGAGTTCTGCCATCCAAATGTTCTAGAATGGAGATTAGATTAATAGCAGCTTTCTAAAACAAAGCAAGTCATTTTAAAATATAAAGGACCTGGAGGCGTGGGGGGTGGGCGGGGCGGATGTGGAGCCCTCCTCCGGCTGCAGGAGCCGGGGGGCTGAGTGCAGCGGGGCAGGCTCGGCCGGCAGGAAGAGCCGAACTGAGAGCCCGACGCCTGGTGCTCAAGACTTTCTCCGAGCTATGAAACTCACGTAGTCGGCCGGGCGCAGTGGCTCAAGCCTGTAATCCCAGCACTTTGGGAGGCCGAGGCGGGTGGATCACGAGGTCAAGAGATCAAGACCATCCTGGTCAACATGGTGAAACCCCGTCTCTACTAAAAATACAAAAAATTAGCTGGGCATGGTGGCGCGTGCCTGTAGTCCCAGCTACTCAGGAGGCTGAGGCAGGAGAATTGCCTGAACCCAGGAGGCGGAGGCTGCGGTGAGCCGAGATCACGCCATTGCACTCCAGCCTGGGTAACAAGAGCGAAACTCCGTCTCAAAAAAAAAAAAAAGAAAAAGAAACTCACGTAGTCAAGCAACATGATGCTTCTCGTGCAGGGCGTGTGATGAGGAGGCAAGCTTGGCTTTCCAGTGCTGGGAACCTGAGGAATTGCCGAGGACCTAGAGCCCAGCCCTGACCGCTAGAGAGCCCAAAACGCAATGAACAAATTGAATTTCCGCAACAACAGAGTCATGCAAGACCGCCACAGCGTGTGCATTTTCCTTCCCGAGAATAAATCTCCGAACATCATCATAAATGTTAAGATTCTGTGTCACCGAGGTGGGTGGATCACCTGAGGTCAGGAGTTCAAGACCAGCCTGGCCATCATGGTGAAACCCTATCTTATTAAAAAAAAAAAAAAAAAAAAAAGATTCTGTGTCACCAGTTGCTGGTCCAGCTTTGTGACCTGCTCCAGCTAAAGGACTGCCACCTCTTTGGACTTAGTTTTATACAAAATAATGAACATGTTTATATGGGGTTGTCACAAAAGCTTTGCAAATATTGTCCAAAGCCGGGCGCGGTGGCTCACGCCTGTAATCCTAGCACTTTGGGAGGCTGAGGCGGGCGGATCACCGGAGGTCAGGAGTTCAAGACCAGCCTGAATAATATGGTGAAACCCCGTCTTTAAAAAAGAAAAAATAATAAATAAATAAATATTGTCCAAAAGAATGGAAGAAAGAGGCCAGCAAGGGTATCGACCAATTTGGGCCTCCTATGATAATCCACTTCCGTGTGCAGTACTATGTGGAAAATGGCAGACTGATCAGTGACAGAGCAGCAAGATACTATTATCACCGGCACCTGAGAGAACAGGTTCTTCATTCTTAGTGTGTGCTCCGAGAGGAGGCCTACTTCCTCCTACTGGCAGCCTTTGCTCTGCAGGCTGATCTTGGGAAATTAAAAATGAATCAGCACTACGGAAAATACTTCGAGCCAGAGGCTTACTTCCCATCTTGGGTTGTGTCCGAGAGGGGGAAGGACTACATCCTGAAGCACGTTCTAAACATGCACAAGGATCAGTTTGCACTGACAGCTTCCGAAGCTCATCTTAAATATATCAAAGAGGCTGTCCGACTGGATGACACACTGTTCATTACTACAGATTGTATAAGGATAAAAGGAAAACTGAAGCATCGCTGACTTTTGGATCAACCATGCGAGGAATACAGATTTTTCAGAATTTAGATGAAGAGAAACAATTACTTTATGATTTCCCCTGGACAAATGTTGGAAAGTTGGTGTTTGTGGGTAAGAAATTTGAGATTTTGCCAGATGGCTTGCCTTCAACCCGGAAGCTCATATAGTACACAGGGTGGCCCATGAGCTCCAGACACCTCCTGCAACTTCTGAGCAACATGAATCTGCAGCCTGTCCTGCACCGTATCCGGGAGCTGGAGGAAAACAAAGAGAAGAAGCAGTACCGGAAATCTTACATTAGTGACAACCTGGACCTCGACGTGGACCAGCTGGAAAAGCCATCTCGGGCCAGCAGGAGCAGGGCAGGCAGCATGAAACACAAGCGCCTGTCGTCATTCCACCGCCAGCCACAGCAGTTCCCACACCTTGGGCATTAAGGCAGACACCAGGCCCCGGGACATGGGGCCAGAAGGCAGCTGCCCCAGCAGTGCCATCCACCGCAAGCTGAAAACCGGCAGCTCCCTGACCAGCCATTGCAGCTCCCACACCTCAGGAGTGGAGAGCGGCGGCAAAGACCGACTGGAAAAGGACTTGCAGGACGATGAAATAGAGATGTTGGTTGATGACCCCTGGGACCTGGAGCAGATGAATGAAGAGTCTCTGGAAGTTAGCCCAGGCATGTGCATCTACATCGCAGAGGACATGCTCATGTCGCAGAAGCTGAACGGACACTCCGGGTTGATTATGAAAGAAATTGGTTCTTCCACCTCGAGCTCTTCAGAAACAGTTGTTAAGCTTCATGGCCAGAGTACTGATTCTCTTCCACAGACTGTATGTCGGAAACCAAAGACCTCCACAGATCGACACAGCTTGAGCCTTAATGGCATCAGACTTTATCAGAAAGACTTCCTGTGCATTGCAGGTCTGTGTCAGGACACTGCTCAGAGTTACACCTTTGGATGTGGTCATGAACTGGACGAGGAAGGCCTCTATTGCAAAAGTTACTTGGCTCAGCAGTGCATCAACATCCAAGATGCTTTTCCAATAAAAAGAACCAGCAAATACTTTTCTCTGGATCTCACTCATGATGAAGTTCCAGGGTCTGTTGTATAAAGTCCATCTGTGTACAGCTGTACAGGCAGCTTACTGTTTGCTAGAGGATGTGAAAATCATGGGTTCTTTACATATTACTTGTGCCATGTCTTCTTCGCCCTAAGCATAGCTCTTTCTTTATGATATTTGTGATGATGGAAACAAAAGCCTTGAAACAATTGTACTTTAAGTATTACACAGAAGTAGAGGAGCTACAGAAAATGTACTGCAAGAGAAGTGCCCAGAAGCCCATTGCTCCTTTGGAAGGAAGTGCACTTTACTGATTGCAATGCCTTCGGAATATTGGAGTGTGGTGTGTTTGCTCATCTGATGCTTTTTAGTTCAGCTACATGTAAATCACATTTTTTATCATGTAAAAGATGTTAGATTTATTTGCTTGCTTGTAAATTTTTTACCACTCCCTTATAAAACACTCATGGTTTGGGAGAGGAAAGAGAGAAGATTCTCTCTTCTTTTAACAGAGAGACGGTTGCTCTGTACAGCCATTGCTTCCTCCCTGAGGCTGTCCCAAAGTGAACACTGATGAAGTGGTCAAAATCATGAGGTTGTAGCAAGCCAAAGATACGTACATGATGGAAGCACCTGTGCAGAGACAAGACATGAATTAAGCAATAACCAGAAAACCGGAAGTGCATATGCTGTGATGCCTGTGACTCCTCCACCCCGCTCAGTGCCATGTCCTCTTCTGTGATCTTCGAGAAGGCTCCAGGATTCAGTTGAGTTCCTCATCCAAGTAACAAGAATTATGTTCATGTCGTAATGCATTTTGTGGAGTTTACAAAACCCGTGTCTGTTAAAACCACGGAAAATGTCTTAGAAAACATTGGTGCTTGGTGATGCTTTGTTTAATTATCAAGAAAAAATCATGGCAATGCTACTTTCTGCTTAACCAAAATATTCCATGTATATATTATACATATATAAATACATGGGATTGTGTATATTTATATGTGTTTAAAGCTTACTATGTCTTCATTTTGGCTTCCATGACTATCTTTTATATGTGGAATTACTTAAGATTGAGAATATGTCACTGAATGAATGATACCTGCAGACAATCAGTTGATATACATAGAGTTAAAAATGACGGTTTCCTCTTGTGCCTTTGGCCATGATTCTCAACACTGATTGTATAATAGAATTTGGTGTGGGGAGCTTTTAAAAAATAATGACTGAGTCTCCCACCAGTCTGATTACATCATTCTCTTGTGGTGGGACCCAGGTAGAATTGCCTTTTTTTTTTTTTAAGTTCTCCAGATGGAGCTAATATGCAACAGAGTTGAAAACCACTGATCCCGGGTATGTCTTTTGTTAATTTTGAAGTAAAGGTGTACAGAAGATGTAGTGTATGAGAAAGGGCCATTTTTAAGACAGTTACCTGCTATGCTGCTGTAACAATAATACGTAAGGAACCAAGTCAGGGGAGTGAATTTATCAATCTTTTGATGTACAGTAAAAACATTGCTCATACTTCAGGAGAGAACTTCATAGCACAATGTCTTTCTATAAGATATTTTTAATGATTTAGTACTTTACAACATTTGTTTACCATATTTTGATACACCACTTTTTTCTATCTGCCAGGTTTTATTTTTTAAAACTATATATTATTTTCTAAAGAAACAATCATATTTTTATACAAAGTTACGTTTTCAGGTAACAAAGAAGTAGATTTAGGGTACAGCGGAACATAAGCAGTGTTACCCGTGGCTAGGAGTCAGTATGACCCAACCAATGGTGAGCAGGAGCCTGCCTGCCTGTGCTGCCCGCCCTCCTGTGCTGGGTCCCGGAGGTGTATGCAAAATCGCCTTGTCACATTAGGTTCACCTGACACTTTAAAAGGAAAAAAAGTAGCCGGGTGCGGTGGCTCACGCCTGTAATCCCAGCACTTTGGGAGGCCGAGGCGGGTGGATCACGAGGTCAAGAGATCGAGACCATCCTGGTCAACATAGTGAAACCCCGTCTCTACTAAAAATACAAAAAATTAGCTGGGCATGGTGGCTCGTGCCTGTAATCCCAGCTACTCAGGAGGCTGAGGCAGGAGAATTGCCTGAACCCAGGAGGCGGAGGCTGCGGTGAGCCGAGATCGCGCCATTGCACTCCAGCCTGGGTAACAAGAGCGAAACTCCGTCTCAAAAAAAAAAAATAATAAAAATAAAAATAAAAGGAAAAAAAGTTGTATCAAGTTCTGTGGTCACAAAACTATTTTGCTTTTATCAAATGCTTTAATAGAACCAAAGTTGCAGATGTTGAAGTGTATGGAAGTATCTCAGTCTGCATAAAAGGATTAAAGTATGAAAGGATCATTTAATGACTATTTTACTTAGAAGTCATTCAGTAATCCACCATTTCTTATGGATGATGCTTAAGCCTGATGAGGATTGTACTCTAAGGAGCCCAGATCATAATGCAGTGCATTTCCTTAGCCCTTAGAGTTTCTTGCAAACCTTAAAAAAAAAAAAAAAAAAAGGAGGCTGAGGCAGGAGAATTGCCTGAACCCGGGGGGCGGAGGTTGCGGTGAGCCGAGATCGCGCCATTGCACTCCAGTCTGGGTAACAAGAGCGAAACTCCATCTCAAAAAAAAAAAAAAAAGACATATTTAAGAACGAAAGGTAAAGGAAAAACATATTTAATTACTGTAAACAGGTACTGCTTTATACTTTATTTTCTCTCTACTTCAACCAAAGTCAGATCTTTAAGGTTTTGCTGGCATTATTGGTGATTTTGCACATGCTCTTTCTAATTCGATTTATAAATAGTCCTGTGGGTTTTCAAAAATGAATCATGCTAAGAGCACTTTTGCTTTTTGATCCACTGTTTGCAGCAGAATTATATATATGTATATTAAAAATCCACTTTGAATAATCCATATTTTGTATTTGGAAATTGTTTTTAAAAATAAAAAGGAAAAGAAAAATATGAAGCTGTTATTTATTCTGCATTTCTGACATATCTATTGCTAGTCAGTCTACCCATTTGGTATATATTGCCTCTGCACACCTACATTTGTATTTGTAACAATGAGCTTTATATCTACATAAACTGCAAATAATCCTTTCTGTTTTTTTCTTTTTTTTGAGACGGAGTTTCGCTCTTGTTACCCAGGCTGGAGTGCAATGGCGCGATCTCGGCTCACCACAACCCCCGCCTCCTGGGTTCAGGCAATTCTCCTGCCCCAGCCTCCTGAGTAGCTGGGATTACAGGCACGAGCCACCATGCCCAGCTAATTTTTTTGTAGTTTTAGTAGAGACGGGGTTTCACCATGTTGACCAGGATGGTCTTGATCTCTTGACCTCGTGATCCACCCACCTCAGCCTCCCAAAGTGCTGGGATTACAGGCTTGAGCCACCGCGCCCGGCCCAAATAATCCTTTCTGTAAAAGGATCATCATATCAAGATGATACCAAAAGTATGTAAAAAAAAAAAAAACTGCATTATTTTGTAATTATTTCTTATAGATGTTTCATGGTAAGATTAGTAGTCAATAAAGTTACTTTTTTGCCTTTAAAAAAAAAATCTAAAGGACCCATGCTTACATAATTTGATTATCAAGTTAGACAACAACAATTATATTTCTCATCTAATTTAGAATTCTGGAAACACAGTGATTTAATGAACATTACAAGATCCTTCAAATTAACCTGTCATAGAAGGCTGTCTCCTGGGCCTTCAAATCCTACACCAATTCTAGACCTCTGGTTTTTGTAATGTTTGGTCTTTTGTAAGTTTTAAGGTGAATTACATGTGGCTACTAATTTCTATTAACCTAATTTCAAATCTAAAGGCAAAATTTAAATGTATTTTTTCTTTCCTATTACCAGAAAAGATGGCCTCATATGCTACTATCCTATGATTCCCTTTTTGTTCAGCTCATAATACAAATATCTTATTGTTCTTCTAAGCTGTTTTTTTTGTTTGTTTGCTTGTTTTGTTACTTTGAGACGGAGTTTCGCTCTTGTTACCCAGCCTGGAGTGCAACGGCACGATCTCTGCTCACCGCAACCTCCACCTTCTGGGTTCAAGCAATTCTCCAGCCTCAGCCTCCTGAGTAGCTGGGACTACAGGCATGCACCACCATGCCCAGCTTTTTTTTTTATTATTATTTTTAGTAAAGACGGGGTTTCACCATGTTGACCAGGATGGTCTTGATCTCTTAACCTCGTGATCCACATGCCCGGCCTCCCAAAGTGCTGGGATTACAGGTGTGAGCCACCGGGCCCAACCTCTTCTAAGCTGTCTTATAAAGCAATACTATAAAATTAAATAGATAAAAGTTACATAGGCTATCAAGATTGTTTGCTGGTGGTAATTTTTAAGCTTGATTCTGAATAGACTTAATAAGAAGGGCACCTGGAAAAGGTGGCTCACATTTTGCTCTTTAAGGTACCTTGAAATTATAGGCTTACTCTCCCAAAATTTCAAAAGGCCTACAACTTTGGCTGTTAAGAGCAAAGTAGTGGTAAAAGCTTTTAGGATCATTTCAAAAAGCAAGATTTCATAGTTTTCCCTCTCAAATGGCTCCCTGATATACTTGCAGATAGAAGGCAAAGGGAAAACCAGGAAAAAATAGATAAGTACTCCATCCATTGGGCTTCCTGCCTACTTTCCCTGTTCTAAAGAAGACACACCATCTTGCATCTGTAGATGGGGAAGCGCTTCCTTTAACAGTTGAAGGGTACCGTCTGGCGCAATTCCAAAAACTTGTAGTGTTTGTAGTGTGGGAATTTCTCCAAGTTCAACTAAAGTTTCAGGTATCATAGCACCGACTGAGAGATAGGTATCGGAGGTGGCTGAGCTGGAAAAATTCCGGAAAGCAGTCATTTAAGTCTAGGTGGCCAAGATTGGGGCATCTTCTAACTACAGTAGAGAGATCTGATTTCTGGAGATTCTTTCTGTGGCCGCTGAGATTCCGCTGGGTGACAATCTTTGACACACGCGCAGCAGCCACCTGCACGTGCTTCTCAGTGAAATCAAAACACCAGGAGAGGTTCAGCTCATCCCGTCTGGAACAGCCGCTTAGCAGGTCTGCAGGGCAAATTCAGAGAATCCAGAACACCCACAAAGGTTAAGTCGCACTAAATTTGAGTTTTGTGCGAGACGATTGGCAATGGGATCCGACAGCCGCAGGCCTTCCGGGCTTGGATTCTGCAACTTGGAACACCGAGACAGAATGCCCTGAGGGTGGACATTTCAGTAACTGGGATCGCCGGGTCCATGTGCTGCACATGAAAAGGGCTGAAATGTTCAGCCAATGGCTGGTCCATAAACGGTCCTGGGCAGCGGAAGGCAATCGCCGCTTGAGACAGCACTGACCAATCACATTTGGGTGCAGATTTTTACCTGTGAGGTCTAAGGTTTGCCATAGAGACTCGTCAAACGCTAGGAGATACCACCTCTTACAAACACCAGAGACCCTGAGCAGCTCAGGGAGGCACAGACAGGAGAAGATCCCCAAAAGCAGCTCATCCGGAAGGGAGTCCCATGAAACACCTGGAAAGCTCTCTCGATTTAGCTTAGGCCTGCGGGTAATCACGAAGCCTTTGCTCTTCAGCGGTTTCCTTGGGGGGCTGTGCGGAAGGCCCAGGTTTGAGAGCAGTTCCTGGGGGATGTTCTCACTGTCGGGCTCCTCTTTCTCCAGGGCGGAGACCCCCCTGCCGAGAGCAGTTCAGAAGCCCTGCGAGAATCCCACCCCCACGTGAAGCTAGCGGCAACGTTGCTACTCAGGTCTGGAATCTCCTGGAGGTGCTTCCTGTGCATAGCGTCCGCAGGTTCGGGAGCTTAAAATACGTGCATTTTTAACAGCACCTGGAAAAAAAAAAAATGTGCATTAATTGCAGAGCTGCCGTATTCGGATTCCGGCTTTGGCGTGCAGCGGCGCAGTGGGTGCTGCTCGGGCCCCCCTTTTAACTATTATAGCATTATATTTTTTACTTTTTTATATACTTTGCTTCACTTTTTTCCTTCTATATTTCTTATTGTATTTAAGTTGCTTCTATTCTTTTGTGATTACTTTAAAAATTGCAGTCTTAATCTTTAATTTGTTAAACATAGTGATAATTGATACCCTTATCCTCATCCTGGACAGTATATGAATGTTGGAATACTTTTAGTTCATTTAGTCTCACTCTATATTATATACTTTTATCATTTATTAAGTCTAAGTATTAATATTCTTAAGCCCCAGAAGACTAGACATATGTTTTGTATAGTTACTTTAGATTTAGCAACATATGTGCTGGTGTCTGGCTCTTCCTATGGCTCTGAATTTTTATATGTAATCATGGTGCTTCTGCCTGAGAAACATCTTATAGAATTTCCTTTTGTGTTGGTCTGCTTCTGAAAAACTCTTTCAGCTCTTCTTCTCTGAAAGTGTCTCCATTTTGCTTTAATTATTGGAAATTAATTTTACCAAGTATGTAATTCTTGGAGGCAGTTATTTTCTTTCCACATACTTGGATTTGATTATCGCTTTTCAGAAGGCAGCCAGTTGTCTAACTTTTGCTTATTTGAATATAATCTTCCTTTTTTTCTTCTGAGTGTTTTTTGTCTTTGTTTATTTTCTGCAGTTTTACTATTCTGTCTTTAGCTATGGATTTCTCTTTATTTATCGTGTTCCACTGGCTGGCCTTCTATAATCTGTTGACTTTTTAGTTCCATTTTGTCTGGAAAGCTCTCAAATATTATCTCTTCAATATTAATACTTAGACCTAATAAATGATAACAGACTTTATTGCCTTTATTTTCTTTCTCTTCAACTTTTGAGCCTCTAACTGAAACTAATATAGACTGTCTCACTCTGTTATATTTTTGTGTTTGTGTATTAAATATGATTTTTCTCCCTGTTATATATTCTGCATTTTTTTCTTCTTCCCCATCTCCCACTTTACTAGTTCTCCTTTCAGCTGTGACTGTTCTGTTAAACTCTTCCATTGAACCCTTAATTTTGTTTAATTTTTTTTTCAGAATTTCTATTTGCCTCTCTCTAAATCTATTGTCATTTTTTTGTTATTCTCAATTTGTGTGTAAATTGTTAACAAAACCCTTTTCTCCTTCTGCATGATAATTTGACGTTTAATTAACTTTCTAGCTCTGTCCACCTAGAGCCTCCTAATGACAAATGTTAACCATGTTACTAAGCAATACTGCATATCATAAAAAAGACTCCTGACTGATGGGCTACACTTGAACTGGGCAAACTAAGTACCTGGAAGAAGCTGGACTTTGAGCTTCTCTGAATGCAGTGGGCCTATAACTTGCATACACCTTGCATGGGATTGGAAACTACTCTGTTAAGTTCTTACAAGAGTTAAAGGCTCCAGGACGGTGCCACATGCACCTCGGCTGTCCCCAGGTAGACAGTGAGGGGTGGAGAGCCAACAGACTATCTCCTGCATACTGTGTGGACTGCTGCTGCAGAGACTGCTCCTACAGAAATATCGTGTCTGATGCTGCCCTGCTAGCAAGCTATA